TCCACCCTCCCCCCCCCCCCCCCTCCCATATAATGTTAAGGAGGGGGCTGTGGGAAGTTATGTTTACTCTAACTAACCCTGTCTGTACTGTGCTGACAGATTTCATTATCAGTTGTAAACTAGAATTGAACACTGTCTGTACTAACAAAGGGTTAAAGACTCAGAAGCATTGAATGTTAATGGGTTGAAGCTCAGTCTGTTCCTCAGTTTGTCCCTCAGTTTGTCCCTCTACTTTCACAAAGGCTTTCACCAAAGAAACATCTAAAAAGGTAGGAAATACTTTTTTTTTAAATTATTTTTAGCTATACTGTGGCAATATGAACACATAACAAACATAAAGTGGAGTTTTCTCAAATTTGACTGCAAAAGTGGAAATACATTTGTAAGTGTATGTCAGGCATTACTTACTCCGGCTCTTTGCACTTCCATGAAGATCGATTTCTGAAACAATCTCTCCCACACTGGCAGATCACTGCCCAACTCCGTGCTGAAGTAATGGCTTTTTCCATAACCAACCAAAACACTAAAACAGTACGGTCGCTGATTTTCAAAATCTTCACTCTGACTGATATTTAAATAGAGATTTTCTTGAATCCAGATTTCATCAGCAGGCCAAACCTAAAATAGACAGGATATGGCATTCTACATAAAAAGTCTCCTGCACGGAATTATAAGCAGTAATCTCATTGGATTTACACAATTTCCTTTCTATAAAACCTGCTAGAAACGACTCATGAGAACTTGACCCAATGGACATAGCTGACAGAAGAGAGAAAGAGTGGAGATAAGACAATGATGCACACCTTCTTATGACAATAGCAATTAATAAGTAGCAGTAAACTACTGATGCCACATACTCTTTCTCTCTATAAGGGGTACATTCTACTGTAAAACAACACCTCATAGCAGGGACGTGCGGTCAGGGGAGGCAGGTGAGGCAGAGCCTCACCTAGAATTATGGAGGACAAAGCTGTCAGCTTCATGTCTGAAGCTGACAGCTTTTTCTCCATTCAGATCGGCATCTAACAGGTTACACATCAGCCAAACATTTGCTGGGTGGAAAACATTCCCTGACATTGGGCAGAATCTGTTCTTTAACATGAAAAATATGCTTACTGTTACATTCCCTGCATATCATCCGCTGTTATACTCGCTCCCTCTCTGGGACCGAGCAGAACAGAAAAATAGTGAAATAAGTGGAAAAAAATAAATAGAAAACGATTGTGCGGAGCTAGCAGTGACAGCTAGCCGCACTCAACTGTTTTCTATTGGCCGGCGGTTCTGCTGCCGTCAAAAAAATGAAAAAAAAAACATAGGAATGCAGTCATCTGCTGCTGTCAATCACTAGTGGGGACCTAATGGAGAACTGCAGGTCCCCTCTGCTCATTGACAGCAGCAGTGGGCGGGTGCAATAGCTAGTTTGCTATTGGCTATTGCAAATTGAAATAGCCAATAGGAATCTAGCAAGGCATTCCTATGGTGAAATGTTTTTATTTTTTTATTCTGACGCCAGCCAACGGCTCCGTGTCAGAATAAAAAAGAAAAAGCAGTGTTTCCCTTCTGGGTGGCCGGGAGCGGGAGACTCCCGGAGTGCCCGGGAGAGTTAGGCTGTCTGGATATTAGTGTCCCTGGTTAGCTGGTAACCAGGGACGCTGATCTCTCTGCAAGTGGCCGGAGCCAGCCATAACATCATGGTTGGCTGCGCCCAGCTGTAAGAAGCAGGCTGTCGGCCGGCCAATGGTCGGCCAGCTTCGGCTTTCACCTCGGCTCAGTCGA